CACTTATATTCTTTCATGCATTTCCGAGTGGAGAGGTATCTTGTTTTGCACGTACACATTGCAAAACTTTTATATTAAGCAAATATATAATAATTATGGCCGGTAAAACAGGACGGTCCGGCATCCTCTTAAATCCTGTGAATATAGTTGCGCGCGGAATTCATTTTCCAGAATGGAATGAGGCTGCTCCATTGGTCGTCCAAGCGAAATCAAACGGTGCGGATGAATACCAATTCATACCAATAATTTTCAAGGGAAACTTTGCCAACAATGTATTATACAACGAGACATATTAAAAAAATATTAATTTTTATTTCAAGCAATTGACTAATATTGTAGTCTATTTTTCAAACATGCGGCTAAATAAAGTGAAATATTATGCCATTATTTTTAATAAGTTTTTATCGTAACATATATATATATATATATATATCTTTGCTCAAGCATACATACGAATGGGTAAGCGTGTTATATGTATGCTGAGCTACGGAAAAAGGGCCCTTTAGAACCATTCCGTCAGTCAGTCCAGTAAAACCCTCGTAAAGCCCGTCGTCGAGCAGGCACGTGTTACCGCGAAACACGTGCCTTCTCGACAACGAATCACCCAGCTTTCATAATCCACGCAGCGCTCATTGATCGGCACGCGTTGCTGCTCCACGATCTGGAAATCCCGCCAATAATGTGACCGCGTTAGGCGAGATTAGAATCGCCCGGTGACGTATTATTGCAAATAATGGTATGCGCAAAGCGCACGAACACAATTGTGATTGGTTTAGATTTCATCTATTTTATAATTTTGGTTATTTATTTCCAGTTATTATTTTACATGACCAAATCTATTTAAAATAAAATAAGAGAAATTTTTCGCAAAAATCCTGAAACTAAAAATTTCGCTAGCTTGTCGTCGGCGTATTTATTACCATTTTGTTATTTAAAAACATACTTGATCTATATATATATATATATATATATATATACATCATAACTGATCTATTGTAAAAACAATTAAACTAGCCTTTTACACTACGAGAAATACGCAGCTTCCCGATGAATGAAAAGCAACCGTTGTGGAAAAACTCACGCGGAAGGAGGGTTCACTTCTAGATCAGCCGTAGTACAACGACGGTCGAGGGTTAATCAATTGATCCCGCGATCATCCGGCGTGCTCGAGCTTTAACATAAGTCGCTTTTCCTTTCGTTCTTGAATTCCTAGATTTGTAAAAGAGGTGGTAGAGAACCGCGCGAAAGAAAAAGAGAGAGGAAGTCCAGCGGCGCGTGTTGCATTGGCCTGAATGAGCGTGTAATCCCCACGATGACCATTCAGCAGCACGCGTTTCCGATCGCTCGACTACTGTCTGGGATATTTTCTGTTCGTTGCCACCACAATGGGCAAGCGGCGTTTCCTTGCCGGACATTTACGACGTCCTCGTCCATTGTGACGCCGCTGTCGTTCCTGCCCCGTTGTCGCGTTTATATGTGTTTTGAACTCTCTATATCGTACAGGATTTTTTACGCTGTCTAATATGTTCAATTATATACATGTATTCTGATTGTACAAAAGATTAAAAATTTTATTCAAAAATATTGTACGACAAAAAAATTTTCTTTTGCGCTTACTTACATACATATTGTAAGTTTAATTTAATGACATGAATATCAAACTTTCAAAAATTATTTTCTTTATTTCTTTCTTTTTTTCTATTCTTCTTTACAAATCCTATAATTAAGTTCTCGCAATCGTATTACAAGTAACATAAATAGCATCACGTCAATATATAACAACAGATTATTTATGGGGGATATACGAAGGTTTACACTGCAGCCAAAATTGGGGGTTCTACGCGCACGCCCGGAGCTCGTTTGTGCTTTAAACGCTTTGTTCGAACGTTTATAAGATCCTTCTCTCATTGTAACGTCGTTGTCGACCCGGCAAGTAACCGGCCCGACCGCTCATTGTCGCGCGTCCTGCTTCTCTCCTGCGGAATCGCGCGTGCTCGCGGCTTGCCGGCCGCAGACAATAGTGACAATGACCACTGGGTGGACCGTTTAGCACAAACGGCGACACAAACGAGAACACTGCCGGACTGCGGAAAGCGGGTGTCCTTTCCGCAGTGCGGCACAAGGTGCGACCTTTCAAGCGAGAGTCGAGTTGCACCGCTCCTGGAGTGTTCCTCGATACCTCACTATCGATTCGAGATACTCGGCCGCTAGGCGTGAGAATTCCTGTATATTTAGATACCAAACCAATCATAGATTTGCGAATTTTATACACGCGTTAATTTTAAGTTTACAATGTAAAAAAATGACTGAAACTAAAGTGTCTGCAAGTTTTTTGCAGATATAATTTTCAGACATAATGTTGTCTGAATTTTCAGATAAAATGCTGTCTAAATTTTCAGATAGGATGTTGTCTGAATTTTCAGACACTCTTCTGAATTTTCAGAAAAACGACTCTAATGATTAAGACTGATTGATTGTCTGAAATTTCTTTCAGACACTCAGATATGAAAATTCAGATAAAAACGTCTGAATTTTTTAAAAATTGTTTACAGTGTACTTTGAGAATTCGGAGTTTTATATACCAAATTTAAAAGTTCTAGATATATTTTGAATTTTAAGAAACATTCTTTAATTCAAATTTAAATTAAATTTAGTATATGACAGCTTCTTTTATAAACAGGTTTCTTCAGCCTGTTAAAACAATTTTAAACGGGTGAAGAGGGAGGGGAGAGGGGAGTTAAAATAAACTTTTTATCTTTCTGTCAAACAATTCGCTCTTTTTTCACGATCTCGTCTGGAATTCCCGAGATTCAATTCGAGTTTTTGTCCTTTGATTCTTCTGTCTGTTGTTACCGGTCGAAGCCGAAAGCGTAAAGAGCGACGCGAAAATTCAGTGGCGAGTAAACCAAAGCCCTTTCACCCAGGTGCGCAAGGATTTTAGCCAGAGACAAAGCTCAAAAGCGCCGACAGCTCTCAACCCGACCGCCACTTTCAATTCGGAAGCTGCTTTGCGGTTTATCGCTCGCATACCACTTCCGTTTGTAGAAGAGAATAACAGCAAAAATACCGAGCGAAGTTTCAAATATCTCCGTGCATATATTTGCGGCGTAACGTATTGCGGAAAACATAATAAAGAGCTAAATTATATTTAATAAAGGTAGAAAAATATCTTGCAAAATATACAGATATATAAAAAACACGTCTACTGTGTAAAAAAGATATAAAAATTATAGTACAATTCTTTTTTTTATCAAAAAAAGATGGAAGCTTTAATTAATACGTCTGCAAAAACTTGATAAAACTATTAACGAATTGTTATTTTAAATAGTAATGGAATTCAGCTTGTTACCTTTTGTTATCATCCCTCACAATCGATACTATATTTAAATTACAGACTAGTTCTTCACACAAAAAATCGCTTCTTATCAATGACACATCTCGCTGTAGAATTTGAATACGTCGAGCGACAAGGATCATTGGGAAGTTATCAGGAGTACATGAGCACTGTCGATGTCTGCATTTCGTTAGTGAGTTTCCATTGTAAATACTCGACTTAATCGCGCCGTGTAAGACAACTGTGCGGGTATGCAATGATGATAGCGCGAAACAAACAAGCGCGCGAAGCGCCGTTTTCGCAAATCCCATCATCGGGGGACATGCCGGGCGCATCGCCAGGAATTTCTGATCGGAGCGACGGTTTCCGTCTACGTCGTGACGAAACTGGTTTCTCTTTATGACGGGATATCGGACGGTCGCCCTACGGTCTCTCAGTCGGTTCGGAGATCGTCCTCATCGTCCTCTTCTTCCTCCACCTTCATATCGTTTTTAGGGAAAACACAACAGTGGCGAAGGGATGAAGGGATTACAGAGCTGAAACAGAGAAAGATAAAAATCGCCGTCTTTTTTACTGTATCCTTTTTCAAAAGTGCGAGAATTTTGTTTGAAAAGCTTAAAAAAGTTGTTATAGTAGATTATGTGTGAATGATCGTAATTGTAATGCCAAAGAAGAGTAAGCCCGTTACATTATACTTTATTGTACTTATTATATTTTATTATATATTGACAAGAATTTTTAAGTTATATACCCAATAGAAAGCATAATAGTTCATTATTGCGGTATGACAACACTTTTGGCACCATCACTATATCTTACATTTTATATACTTGAACATATAATTCCGTTCTCCATATTTTTTTAGGTTTAGAACAAAATATATTTATAGAAAAAATACCGGGAAGGGAGGATATAAAAGGAATACGATATATACATATTTGTGAGTCCCGAAAATTTCATTTTATTTTCAAATTGGGAGTCTGGTATTATGGAATTTTTTGTATAACTTCATTTGCAAAAAATTTGCGAGAAATATCAGCAATTTTATTTCTGAAACTCGCCTAATCATAAATGTCACATTTCTTAACAAAAAGAATTTTTCTTTTTGTTAAGGAAGAGGAGATAGTATTCCCTTACGCAGAATTTATGATTACTCCAGAGGTTACGACAATGCGAGACGCAGCGGCGTCGGCTTCTCTTTCTCCGTCGTTCTTCTCTCATTTTGCCCACTCTCCGGCAAACCCGTTCGCCGAGAGTGAATAACGCAACTTCATCACCGTGCGAGCAAGTTTGCGAATGGGCTGGACCAACGTATCGTCCAACGAATGGGATGCCGTGGGTGTGACTTGGTTGCGACCCGAGACCCACTGCATCTCATGATGTTGCCAGGTTGATGTTGGCTTTATCGCCAGACGGCGCTGCCTCGAACATACTCGGGACTGGGGGAGCCAGGTCTGGCCGGCATCCTCACTCCGTATCGCGGCTCCGACTCGTCGGAATCGTCCGCACTCACCTTGGTGGCGCAGCCGAGTTGGTCCCTCGCCTGGCGCTCCGTTTCGCCGTCGCGTCTCATCGCGGAGCACATGGACCCGGGAGATCATCCCTGCGCAGACTGTACGTTCCTCCGAGTGTGAACAGTTGGGGTGCGGAGGTGTGGGGGTGTGGGGGTGATCGATTCTCCGTCAATCATTGTACGACTCGCAGTGTGATCGATAGTATTGTTTTAGTGCGGGTGCCACGGTATTTGGTATTTCTCGATCGTTGTCGGACATCGCAGTGCGCCGGGGCGATATGGATCACGAATCACGGGTCTTTGGACTGTCGACAACGCCGATGACAATAGTTGGATCCTGAGGTTGAGTGCTGATTTGTGAAGTGACATGAGTGTTATTCGCGTATGATAATAATTCGCGAAGACACTGTAGTCGATTTGGTGAAGGACGAGATGCACACGTAAGGGCTCCTCCCTCGATTATCCTCGAAGTTTTACGGAGGAATTCACACTTCTCCTTCCTTCTATGTTTAGTGTGATATCGGGAGTGTCGCGAGGGGAGTAACGGCAGAGAGAAAGAGAGAGAGAAGAGAGGACGAGGGTGAACGCGCGTTAGAGGTGGAAGGAAGAGAGAACCCGAGCCACAGCGGACGCCATCTCCGCGTTATCGGCAAGCGGATCCCTCGGGACTCCCCCCCGAGCAACATCGGCGTCGCGCACCTTCGGCGGGAACTACCCCGCGACAGCGGCCACCCTGATGGGAGTGTATGAGGAGCGCGCCCCTCCTACCACCGGCATGCACTGGGTGAGTGTCATCCCTGTGTCCGTGTTGCCCATTGGTCGTTTCGTGCCAGCTGGTCTTCCATTCCGTCGGGGTGGAACAGCTCCTCGCCTGCATTGCGAGTCGGCGATAGCATCTCCGCAAACATTCCTCCCTATCAAATTCAAGATGGTGAATGTAGAGCTGTGTATCATTTCGCGAGTACGAATGATTTTTGCAAAGAGAGCTTGATTTCTCCGTCAATTGTTTTCAAGATTCGATTCGTGGATCGCGTGACGGTTCGGATAGGGTCAATTATAGGCTGATAACGCGAGTTGCGAGGATTTGAAATTACAATCAATTTATGAAAATCAGTTCGATCTAGTTCGTACAAATGCGCGAATTCAAGATACGCGACGGACGGACGCGGAGAGAGCCTTCGAAAGCAGGCTGCGAAACATCCTTTGTTTCATAAAATTACATGCTTTTACTTAATAATAACAAGTCACCAGCGTTATGCAGAAATTTATTAGTAACAAATTGCAATTTAAAGTCTAAATTTGCTTTTCTCATCCATTACAATTATAACACTTGAATGTGTCGATTTACGAGATCCAGAATAAAGTATTAAATGCAATCGGCAGCTAATGTTCACTAATGTGTAAAAATTCAATAAAAGCGATTGGTAATTATTCGATAATTGAAAGCAATGCGGGATTACGTGGCAAAGTGTGATAACACGGTCTACCTTGGAGTAACATTAATTTGCTCTTAATCAACCGGCCGAGGCCGCCGTCGTAAGTAACGAGTGCCGCTTGTAAACAAATGTAATTGATTGTCTCTTGTCGTCGATTAATTAAACCGGCGCATTAATCACGTGTGCGCCAATGAACGGAGTTGAACGTAAAGAAACTTTGCGCTAACGAAAAGTAACACAACGTTTCTTCCCTTTTCATACCATTATACGAGCCGTCATTAATTAATCTCCGTTCAGCAAAAATATTTACATCATTTCGAAAAACTCCGACAATTGTTCATCTCTTTTTAACGTCGCTTTCTTATGTATGATTATTATTATGTATTTCACATTTTATTGGTCCGGCCTTTTTCAAACAATTACTCGTAAAATTGCCATTTCAAACAATTACTTGTAAAATTTTATTAATTTTATATGAAAATAACTTTGTTTCTATTTTTTGTAAATGTTTGAAAAATGATACAGAGATGATAAATATGTACATGAAAACTTTTTATTTTATCGAGAATCTGCAACTTCCGTTTGGCTTGAGAAGACGGAAGTATTACTGTATACATATATTAGTATAAAGATATCACAGTATCAAATTTTGCGTAAACTAGATATGTTCCTAATTCTTTGTCTCTCTCTCTCTCTCTCTCTCTCTCTCTCTCTTTCTCTCTCTCTCTCTTTTTCTCTTCTCTGTCTCTCCCTTCTTTCAAAAAGTTTCTGTCACATAATACATAAATAAATTTATTTATATTAAAGTTACACAAAAAATTAAGTTAATGTAAATAGAGAATTAATTCAGTTTTAAATGGATGATGCATTTTCATTAATTATTTTAATCGAGATAAACATAAGAAATCTGTAAGAACTATTTTTGAGCTTACGTTACATGTAACAGAGGATCACTACTCTCGATATTTTACTTTAAAATAATCTTTTTTTAATATAAATTAAGTAGAAATATGTACAATATATTGTGGACCCATGACATTACGATTAGAGATTTTATTAAGCTTGCAATAAGTACTGTGTACACCAGACAGAGTTAAATATATGTTTTCAGGCATTCATCGAATATTCCACAGATGCTATGCACAAAACTTTGCCGCGAGAAAATACCCGTTTAATCCGCAGTGTCGTGGCTGTCTGATTTGGAAAAATACATAGGGAGTATCAGCTATATCGCATTCGATTTGGCGTCAATTAGTCTCACAGCACGCGCACTTTGTTGCGAGCTCTTTCAAACGCGAAACGCTCGCTAGAGAGAAAAAGAGAGGGAGGACGATTCGTTGTAGCTTCGATGAGATAAGGCCATCTTGCTGCGAATATGTGTCTGGCCGCGATAGCGCTTGTGACGTGCGTAATTTATTACACGCCGAGATTATATCCGCCGCCGTCCGTCGCCGGCAGTCATCGTCGCCGGCCGAACGTCCGACGTTTAACTTTGCACTCGAGGCCCCAACCTGGTCGGTTTCATCGCTGCACTTGTTGTTGACGTTATCACTTGTCCGTTATTTCAGAAAGGGATATACCGGGCATCGGAAAGAGAAATACGTTCGGCGGAATTCAAGCGCGATCAATCAAAGAAATAAAAGAGATGCTTGTAAAGCCTTATGTACACTGTAAAAAATTTTCTAAAAATTCAAACACCTCTCTGTCTGAATTTTCAGATCTGGGTATCTAAAAAAAATTTCAAACGATCTGTCTTAATTATCATAATTGTTTTTCCGAAAGTTTAGAAGAGTTTGTCTAAATAAACTGAAAATTGAAGTGTGTCCGAAAATTCAGACAGCATTCTGTCTGAAAATTCAGACAGTGTGTCTGAAGTTTCAGATCTGGGTATCTAAAAAAAATTTCAGACGTTCTGTCTTAATTATCATAATTGTTTTCCGAAAGTTTAGAAGAGTTTGTCTAAATAAACTGAAAATTGAAGTGTGTCCGAAAATTCAGACAGCATTCTGTCTGAAAATTCAGACAGTGTGTCTGAAGTTTCAGTCAATTTTTTTTACAGTGTTGAAAAATGTAGTCTTTATAAATGCGATGTGTGAATTATACATACATGCGTATATGAAAATATCAAAGCGAAATACTTGTCAATATTAACACATCTCATTTGACAGAATTCTTGAATTCTGAACGCGATGTCACATAATTCCGCACGATTAGACATGCATATATTTTCAAAAAAGAAAAAAAGCAGCGATTGTTCTGAGATATCTCTCGTATAATATCCACAACTGGTGTATCGAGTACGTGCGATTTAAGATGAAAATAGTTTTATAAATTGATTGATGTAATCATGATATTTCGGAAGCGAATCGTGACAGTTAACTAAGAGAGGACGGCTTTTAAGACATGTTGTTTTTTTTATATTTGAGATGCTGATTGTGTTCGAAGCATGTGCGTGCCGCGTATCAACGCGACAATAAAATTAACATCCACTCATTTATTAAAAACATCGGGACGAATAATCACGCGCTCGCGCGTCCGAAAATTCCATTTATTCTACTCAATTTCCTAATGAGATAGAATTTTCCGACGCGATTTTTCGATGAAAACGCGCACGGATAAGTATGAAAAACGGAAAAGCACGATGAAGCGGCAGATGGCGTCGACGCAATAAAGGTAAGGAAGAAGATCTTGCACGAGTTATTTGTAATTAATTGCAGATATTAAAGAGAAGATAAACTGGAATGAAATATCATTCGTTTAAATAATTCGATAATCATAAAGATACGCGACGTTGAAAATTAATGGTGCATTAAATTTCGAGATGTAGATGAATGATAAATCCTTGATTTGAAACTGTGTATCTTATTGTTAGAAGAAAATTAATTTTCTTATAGAAAATCCAATCACGCGCGCCCGTTAAAGAATTTGAAGTGTTAAAAATTAATAAAACAGTTTTGCAGTTACACGCGAGGGATTTAATGTGATTATCGCGCAGTTGTTGCTCGACTGCCGATTGTCATGTGTCGTGTCACGCATCGCACTTAATTTACCTCGATCAGGGGGAAGCCAGATTTTAGGTGCCACGAAATGTTCGCGTGTCGGAATCATTTAGCATGCAACCGCGCATTGAATGGCGTCGATGAGCCACACGCAAATCTGCTTTGATTGTGAGCGCAGCCATTTAAATTTAACGAGATTTTAGATATGTGTAAGGTATAATCATGCCCGAAATAACAAAGTTCTTAAATTCATCTCTATACTTGCATCTCTTTTCACATATTTTACGCACCTTTTTACGATATTTTAACACAAACCATCTTTTTCATCTAACGCGGATCTTCTCTCCAGAAAGACATAATAATGAGATTCTTTTTGACCTCCGTGTTTTTATAAATGTTAATATTTTGCAACGAGCAAATTCTTTATATGAAAAAAAAAAAAATTAAGTTTAACTGCCAAAAAGATTTTTTTTTATGAATTGTTATCGCGGGAACAAAACGCACTTCTCTCTAACTTGTTTCATACATATACCATTGAGAGCTTAATATAATCGAATTATATGATATATAAGCATTCCCATATACAGTTGGTCCGACGATTCTCGCGGAATGCGAGAAGCAGGATGATGCCCACCCGAAGGGGGACCGCTAATCTCCCGGGGTCAGGTCGCGATTCTTGGCCTCCTTGGCATGCGACACTCGCCGCTTCCAGCGTGAACTTCCTTTATCGGGGTGATCGAAAAGAGAGGATGAGAGGGAGGGAGGGAGGAAGAAAAAGAGGCGTATTTGAACCTCGAGGCTGTGGTAACGACTATTTTTCAGATGCTTCACTGTTTCTTTCAGTCGCAATGAACTTTGAAAACACAATCGTGATTTATGCATGCATCGCTTCCGTTCGTGATTTATGTAGCACGTTCGCGTAGCCATTTTTATCGATTATAAATGAGAATGAGGAATAGATAAAGAACAACGACGATTAAATGTAAGGTGAGCAAATAAAAAATATGAATTGCTTGTTTTTTGCAAAAATATAACACGTATTAAATTATTCATATAAGTTCTTAAAATTTCCTGAGAGAAATAGAGAGACAGAGAAAGAAAGAGATATTTTAGTGTACTGAACAATGTTACATATAAAGAGAAAATATCAACATGAGAAATCACTTCGACGTTAATGTATAGGTCGCTTGATAAATGAACAATCTGTTGGAATTATTAATTGATTCTTCTCGTTTAGAATATTTTATGAATAAAATTGGCAAACGCGTATGTGAAATTCAGCTTGTGTGCTGTACCATCGATACATTCTTCAGGAAGCAGTCTAATAATACCTTCTAAGTGGAGCGCGA